TTTTTTCCTCAAGGTGGCACTGTTTGATACACAATGATGACGTGACGTTTCCCTCATAATTACCGCAGGCATAAAACAAACGAATATCACAGGGCAGTGCTTTTCACGAGTGGAGATCGCTACTAGACGAATCATGTAATTTTTTTTTTATTTTTTTTTTTATCTCTGTTCTTTTGTCGTAAGTTATGCTATTACTCCATTAATTTATACTAGCCTATATATCCAGGGCTCCCTGAACGCAGTCTCTGGCTTATTGCCAGTCAATAAGCATGCTGCAGGGACGCGTCTATAACGACTTTGATCTGATCATAAAGTCTTTCCGAGTCACAGGGCTCAAGTCCAAGTCAAGTCTCGAGTCCTTGCTGTCAAAGTCTAAGTCGAGTCTCAAGTCTTCTTTAATTATGTCGAGTCGAGTCGCAAGTCATCAAATTTGGGACACTATGTATTTTTTCTAATTCCATAATTGAAAACAAAGCCTCAATAAAGTGATTTGTCTTGACAGGTATTCGGAAGGCATTTGTTTTGTTTGTTTATTTTGTCATGTCCCAACCCTAGCTGTCCCCACCTGTATTACATCATGGGTCTAAATATGCATCCCCTATGTTTACCTTAGTCTTTGCCTGCTGTTGAATGTGTAACTTAAGCCTTTTGAAGTGCATTTTGCATCACAATTACATGATGTATATGATGCGTCTCCACTGTTGGTTGTAATATTGGTGAAGTAAATCCACACTTTGCTGAAGAAGCGTTAGCAAACTCTTAAAACAGCAACAACAGTACCATGTACTCCACCACTGTTGTGTATGTTTGTTTGCGCTTGCCTTTAAAATCGACACGTACTGCGCATGTCTACATACCTAAAACGTACTACGCACACGCATGATGTCACCATTTTCAAAGATTCACGTTTTGGGTGTTTACACGGAAACGACCACGGTGGCGTTTTCAAAAACTTGCACTTTGAAACCCGTTTTCAAAAATAGTCAGTCCCCAAAACGCCGTTGTCGAGTAAACGAACAGGCAAAACGCATAAAAAGTTTCCCGTTTTTTGTCTGAAAACGTTTTCGTGTAAACGGCCCCATAGTCATGCTAATAATCATTTACTCTTTGCTGTTTAAATGCATCACTAAAAGGCCCCGTCCACACGGAGACACATTTAGCTGTATACACATAAATAGGCGTTTCGTCCAGACGGATCCAGCGTTTTGGGAGAGTGAAACCGATATTTTTTTAAACCTGGTCCCAGAGTGGATAAATCTGAAAACGCCGCCCTTGCGTTTTCGTGTGCACAGCGAATCCGTATATTTTCTGAAACAATGACGTCATCAGCCCACATCTCGCCCCTAATCAGACACTGTTACGTCATGTAACAGCAACAAAAACATGAACAGACACTGAACGATTGTCTTTTTATTAACTAATATGAACACAGATTAATAAATATATTGTTCCATATTTGTTTGTATACCGCACACAAGGTTTATGCGCATAGTCCAAGTCTTCTTCTCCGTTTTTAGTGTATCTCTGTGGCAGAATTACAGCGCCACATACTGGTCTGGCATGTATACTACATTGTTTTGTGTCAGTTTCGTGTGGACGCAGATATTTCTTGAGACGAGGTGAAAAAAAAGATCGGATAGGGAAAGCTCTGGCTTTGTGTGGACGTAGCCTAAATGTGGGGTCTTTGTCCCTCATGATAGTATTTTTACACTGTGAAATTGTTATATATTTGATATATTAAATAACTGTAAAAAATAGTTTAATCTTATCAAACAGGTGTAATGTGTGTTGCATAATAATGGGATGTTTCTGTGATGTTACACTAGTTACTGTAAATAACAGATATAATAACAACAACAAACTGTAAATACTGTAGTTATAAATACGTGACACCCGTGTGTTTTTTTTTTTTTCAAATAACTTTGTACATGATCAATAGGTGTAAATCAGTGAAGCAGTAGGCCTACCACACACGTATACACTGAACCTGTTTGATCGTGGATCTTTGCTATAGAAGAAAAAAATATGTGTGTCATTTCACCTTCAGTGCTTGGGGTTAACAAAATATTCTAGGTTCAGCAAGTTATGCTTATTTGTGGCATAATGTTGATTACCATAACGATTTAGACTTGTCCATCCTTCTTTAAATCTAAGTTATAGTGCAGCACTTACAGTACAACTGAAGTGAATGAGGCCAATCTATAAGTACTGAAATACTAATCTTTTCTGTGCAGTTTTATCCAATGTTACATGGTGCCATGACAGCAGAAAGCCTAAAACCATACAATGATTGTATAATTGATGATTTAATCAGATTTACAGCTAAAATAATACACAATAATATGCATAACTAATGTAAATGATTTTATTAAATTATAAGCTTTACATTTCTGCGTTTTAAGTTCTCCAAAAGCTAGCCCTGATAAAATACAGTAAAGCAGTACTATTGTGAAATATTATTATCATTAAAATAACACTTGTAAATAATATTATTATAATTAAACAACACACTCTGTTTGTATGTATTTTAAAATGTAAAATATTCCTTTGATGGCAAAGCTGAATTTTCAGTCTTTACTCCAGTCTTCAGTGCATGATCATTCAGAGATCATTCTAATATGATGACCTGGTATTGAAGAAACATTTCATATTATTATCAATGGTGAAAATGTCTCGTGTTACTCACGTAACCCATGTTCTCCGAATAGGGAACGGAACGCTGTGTAGCTATGACGCAATGGGAACACCCCTTAGGGATACAATAAATTACTGAATATACATTCTTTATATTACTGTTTTATAAGCTTTGTGTTTCAGCTCAAATAGTCAATGAATGTGGTCTCTTGCTCTCATTATATTCTACTCTAATTTGTCAAAATCCTAGAATTCATTGTTTGTTTTATGTTGGTTTAAATTATTAAATAAATCGAGGTTGTCTCATGTGTGTCATACATAGAGATGTGTTCACAATAAGTGTTCATGGTCAAACATAGTGTACAACCAAGATATCAATTTAAGGAAAGTAAAATAAATTCTAAAAACGTATTGTTCCCAGCAGTTCCTGCTAGTTCGAGCTCTTTCCTTGACCAGAGGCGTATTCATGGGGAGTGTGATGAAAAGAAGCTCAGTGACGGTGAATGGGTGAACTGTGCTATTTGTGGTGGAGAGAGATGTTGAATTACAGCTGCCTTTTCTGCCTCGTCATTCTCTCTTTGTGAGGTGTCAGTGGAGCACTTCCTGTTCGGTGGTGATGAACAGATGATCAAATGATGATGAACACCTCTTTCATTTGACGACTGCTGTGCTGGAGAATGCTTACAGTGATTCTGAAGAAACAAAACAAAAAACCATTGCAAATAGCAGAGATTTAATTCAGAATCAAAAAGTTAAACTGGTTCAATTTCATTTCAGCAGTGTTAAAACAATACTAATAATTATAGTATTAATAATAAGGAGAAGAAGAATGTTTTAAAATAAGAGTATGCAAAAATATGGTGATAATCTATGGTCTATGTAAACTTTGTATAAAACAAT